GTGTATAACTGTAATCCGTGTATGACTTTCGCGTACCAAACGAATCTGCCGCGAAATCTAAAATCCATTCTTTATACCCTTATAGAAATATCATACTAAGAATCATTGATAATTACTTATTTTCAGTATTAAAAATACTGGATAATAAGTAATTATCAATGATTCTTAGTATTTCTATAAGGGTAACTGCATCTTCTGAATTATTTTATAACCAGAGTTACGCATCATTACTTTTTAATTAATTATTGTGTTTAATTGACGATTAATATGAACCAGTTCAATTAAAGACTGCTTAATTGACAATTGATTTCAATAAATTCAATCGAAAACTGTGCGATTGTCGATTATTTTCAAGAAATTCAATTAAAGACGGTGTAATCAACGAATGATTAATACGAGTAAAGAGAATTGAAGATCGCGAAGGGATTGAAGTTAAAAATTGCACTTACTAAATTTAATTAAAGGCTGTTTAATTGATAATTGAACTTAGCAAATTTAACTAAAGGACGTTTAATTAACAATCGATATGAGCAAATTCAATCGATTTAATCGAAAATTGCTTGGTGACGACTGATTGCTCAATGCTCCTTTCAACGAAGGTTAAAATACTCAATTATTCTCTGTTCTCTTACACCAAATATCAAATTAAGTATCAAATTAATTTTAAGTGCTGACAGCGCAATTTAGTGCAGCTATATAAAGAACATATATCTCTAAAAGAATGTGCTTTAAAATTGTCCGTATATCAAGCGCACGAATACGTCGCAAGTAAATTTATATCGAGTGAATCAAATTAATCCCTCACATTGAAATGACGTCTACAAGACATTGTGCTCTCGCGAACCCAGCAATGTGCACGTTGCTGATTACATATATATCTAGTCTTATTATACCTGACCCAGTGTTGGGCATTAATCGATCAAAATTTTCTACCTCTAAAATAATAATCGGCAAATCAATAAACAAAATTAATCAAACGTCATTATATTATATAAAATTACAAATAACTTCATCGATTGATGAAATTAATTATTAAAAAAGCTTTGATGTAATTGATTGATGTAATAGACTGATTAATCAACAATTTTATCAACTTATTAAATTATTTGCAATTTTGCATGTGACAGTTAATTAATTTTAGTTACTGATTTGCTAATTATCTTGATCAAAGGAAATTTTTTAATCGATTAATGCCCAACATTGGCCTGAGGTTATTATTTTGTAATAATAAAACCCTTAGAGGAGAATTCTGTGAGATTGTGTAAAATATGTTCAAATTGAATTAGAATGTATAATTCTCTTTTCGAGCGAGAACTCAAACAGATGCATACAAGTCCGCCAATTAGATGCCAACGCAAGAGATTAAGTAACAACGAGAACAAGTGTGTGAAGTTACACGTGAGAACGAAAAGGAATGACAACAACGGTGGTGACGGTAATGGATCGTTACATCGCGCTAATTAACACGTTGGTTAACCAGTGTCACACATGTGTGACAAACCAATCTCTCATTTCAAGCTCATCTTTACCAAAATTTTTAGTTTTACTTAACACGTTCGCTCATCATATGTGCATGACAACGACTTTCTTTCTATAGATAAATCAATTCTGCTTTACACAATTACATAATGTAGTTACAATTATATGTACACAATATAATTATATTTACACAATTATATAATGTAGTCTATGAAGAGTATGCCTCAAACAAACTATACTAGCCAACGTGTATATTTTTCGGGCACCTAAAGGAAAAAGATCCTTTAAGATTCTCTTCGCTCGATCATACAATTGGACTGTACACCTGATCTCGTAGATGCTATACCATCGATATATCGACAGTAACTAAAGACTTTTGGCCGGCCGCATTTGTTTCTAACTTTCCCACAACTATTGACTAATTAAAGAAGAGTGTTCAAAGCAGAAGTGATATTTTGACAGATTGACGTGTCGAATAATTAATCGAAGAAAAATCGGAAAAAAAATATATATATGCATGTTGTCGTAATTATTATACAATTAATTATATATTCGAACCGATTTTCAGCTCGAAAAGTAAATTTCTTAGTATTAAAGGTGACAATCCTTACTGATAAAATATAAGGTGTATAATCAACAGAAGAAAAATAATAATGTTACAACATGTAACAACATACATATATATTTTTCTCCGATTAATTATTTAAATTAATTTTATACTAGTTTCTTACTTACCCATCTCTTTAACATTTTGCTGTCCCTTTACCGATTACACGCCATATGAGTAGACAACTCTTTCTATGGACGCATTTCCGCTTGCTAAATTAATCAACAGTCATGAGAAACGTGTAGTTTAGCGACGAATGCGGCTATTTCGAAATGTTTAGTGACTATCAATCTAATGAATGATATAGCATCCATGCGTTCGACTGTATATATTCATTGCAAGTCAGCAGCCTTCAGACCAAGAAACTTGGCAGTCGACGAGAAAATTCGTTATTCAACTAGTGATTCAATTTAACTATTTTTTTTTCTTTCCTACGCCATTTCTCTGGTTCGAGAGCGATTTTACCATTGCGTGCGATGAATACGCATATCAGGAAGTGCCGCGGTAAAGTACACGTTAGGTGGAAGACTTATAAATATCCCGTACGCTCAATATCGATTTTTAATATACTTTACTTTATAAATATTAATTTCAAGGAAAATAGTGGCGCGTATACTCGATAAACATTATTCTATGTACGTAACATCCACGTGTCTATCCATGTGTTATCCGACTATCTCGCTACCTATCCATCCACTCGTTCGACTAACCCTGTCAGTACGATGCATTATATCAACTTACACGGTCTCTACGGATATCGCTTCCGCCGCCAGAATACTAAACATCGGCCCGTTTCGCTTACCCGTCTCCCCCTCGGGGATCATCGGAACTGCGATCCACTGAAACGTCAACGTTCCAATAACCACCGTTGTATCGCACGAACATTCGGGACAAAGTTTGAGTCTCCTGTCGTGCATCATAAAAGTGTTCGTAGAATAAACCGTTCTCGCTCACCGGTGTTACGTCAGGGGGAAACACTCGTGTCGCATATTGGAACACCCTTTTAATCTATATTTCAATCGATCGCCTTTGTTTAACTTATTCCTGTTTTCAATCTCCAGCGCGCTGCACGGACATATACGGTATTTCATTATTAACCCTTAAACGACAAGCTAGGGTCAACGGTGATTCTAGTAGGTATATATTTTTCAACGCAATCTATTGAAACTTTGTGACACGTTTGTGCCAAAGCCAGATATTACATCGAAAAAAAATAGATATATTTTTTTAAATGAAATTTTAAATAAAATTTTTCTTTTTCCTAATTACTGTTTACTAATATAAATTTTAAGAAGAAAAAGAAAAAGGAATGAAAGAAAAAAAAATATTGGGATTATTTTATTTTGTTTTTTGACCCTTCGCGACATGATGGGTTGCTCAGCGATCTACTTTTTTCCGTTCAGTTTTTGATTATTTTAACAAGCTTCTTGACGTTAAGGGGATGCTGAAGCTGAAAACTTTGCTGACAGAATACTGATATTTTTCCGCAAAGTTTACGTCGTATTGGTTGCACAAAATTCCAAACGGTTTTACGCAATGAAAATACATGCAAAAATAAATAGAAGCGTTATGTCAATATGTGACAAAAACAGAAAAAAAATTTAAATGTAAAATCTTAAGCGTAATATTTGCCTAATCCAAGTTCTGCAGCTATCGAAAGTGTGGATGTTCCAAACAAAAAATTTTGAAAAACACTGCTGTACTTTTGCATCTGAATTCAGAGGCTTAAGAATATCGGAAAAGTTTGCACAGAAAGATTTCCACACATGTACATGATTAGATTTTCCACCGAATATGATAAAATAAAGCAAATAGTCAATGAATACTTACCGCCATACACTGACTACTTGTTTGTACTTCTACTCTGTATAAGCTTATTATTCCACACAACTAAATAGAAAAACGATACAAAATACGAACGAAAATACTGCCTGTAAAGTTTTACAGATAGTTTTACAGATTCTCTTTTAAAGCTCAAATCCGCGCTTCATACTTTCCGATAGGAAACATCCAATTAAATAGCGCGTCGCTCTGTAAAAAAGAGGAAACTCTCTCGTCGAGCTAAAACTCTCCATGATAGGAGTCCTGCCGAAGAGATCAACATAAAAAAAAAACCAAGAAAAACCTTCACTCACAAAGTCAACGTACGTGAGCAATTTGCCGTGACTCCTTTTAAAAAACTGACGAACGACAGATTAGAGTGTAATTTCGACAGGTGCACAGAAACCGGGGAAAGGGGAAGAGATTGCAATTTCCGGAAGGCGATCGCTAATGTACGTATCGGCCAGTTAGCGGGAACATCGCGCGAACACGATAAGGAGTTCGCAACGGGAATTAGTTAGAGACACAGTGTTACATGACGTGCCAATTAACGATGAAAGGCCGTAGCTCGCAATTAATAGACACGTCGTAATAAGGAGGCCATTTAAATTTAGTGCGTCAACGCTTTGACAGCCGAGCATGTGAAACGATTCCGAAAATGTGGAAGGCATTCGTAAATATGCGAGTCGAGAAATCAATCTTGTCACTAGTGAAATTAAACCTCCAATTTGAAGGGAGTGTAAAATTAGACGAGAGAGCGAAAGTAGTTCCACGTACGATAATACGATCGACGGTTTTCGATTAAAAATATCCACCGGCGAAAATAAAGGAAGAAATATAGATTTTCACTTCGTTGCCATTTCATTCGTGCATTAAACCGCATTAATCGACCGGACTTCTGTTTTGCTCACTGCAAAAGTTGGCGCTCGCGTGGCAGTTCTTGCATATCAAACGATCAAGCTTTTACGAATCGATTGGCAGAATTGCAGAGCGATGTATAAAATCAAGATCGAGTCGCGTTTCGTGAAATGGAATTATCCGTCGGAGAAAATTTCTAGGTTACGATGGGAGCACGAAGAGAAACAAGATAGAATACGTAACGAATTAATCGCATGGTTTATTTTATCCGAATATGTATAAATATACATGTAGCAGTCGCGAAAATAAATTATCTATTGCATACGCAGATACATATGCACTTGTTGTGTACACATATGTATATAGTTATGCACACGTATGGGCAAAATAATGAAAATAAATCCAAACCATTCATTATTGTCGAATAGTACAATGCAATATTTCACTGACTGCTACCTTTTTTTAATTCATTAATGCAAGGAAACATTACCTTTTAAGTGGAACGTATTTGTATCATGAGAGAAAGAAAGGGGAAAGAGAGAGAGAGAGAGAGAGAGTGTGTGTGTGTGTATGTGTGTGTGTGTGTGTGAGAGAGAGATAAAAGGGGACAGACATAGACGACTTCAAATCAGCATAAATTTCGATTGTATTGAAACAAACATTACGCGAATTTTTCACGGCAGTTTGATCAATGTGATTAATTCTTCTAAGCATTTCTTTGCTCTTTACAGAGCCAATTATGTTATGTAGGAGAAACAACACCATGACAATGCAACGGCTTATCACGCACAGTAGAAAAAAAACGGGACAGGACGAAAAACATGCACTGGCGAGATCAATAATCTTGTACGGAATCGTAATTGTTGTAAGGAGGCGGGTCGGGTCGACCCTCCGGAATCCGGTATTTCTCCTCCACCTCCTGATCGTTATCGTCCTCGTACTTGACGGCGGTGAAGTACGAACCCGACGTCGGGAACGTATTACTGTAGTCTGGGTAATCTGAAAGATAAATTTTACGTGAACGTTTGTCGCAAAGGACGCATTTATCTTCGCATTAGGTTTTGAAAAGAGGAAAATAAAAATGTGCGTTTTCTTGCGGGAATCATCCTATCTTAAAGTGTCTAGTCGGAGAACTCTGGATTGATGATGTCAGAAGACGTCAGAAGACACAATGTCCAAAATTCTTGCGTGCCATATTCAAGTAAAAAATATTTTTATGAAAGAATATTTCCGATCGTTTGAGCATACTTACTAACACGCCCCCAAAACTATCCTCTTCTCTCAACAATCAATAAATAGCTGTGTAAAATTAACGTGGTATACAGTGCCGCTCAAAAGTTTCAGTTCACCCTTAATTTCTGTTAATATCATTTTTCGCATACGAAATATACAGAATTATGTTCCCTTCTCTCTCATGTCCATTAAATTTATACAATTGCCGCGAAAACTGATTCTACTGATCGCATGTGATCGGTCAAATAATTTTGTGCGTATATTGTCTTATTTCCATATATACCGCAATAATTTTTAGCATATCATTACTCATTTCTGACGTCATCAAACAACGGCAGTCTCAACAAAGACACAGGAGCCTCAACATATCCTTTTTAAGATTTTTGGATCATAAACCGTAGAAAATCTAATACAGAAAGTAAAAGTCTTTATACCATAGTAAGATTATTATTATATAAATCTTTATACCATAGTAAGATTATTATTCGTACGAAAGACGTGCAAAGTCCTCAAGAGTAGTTTGTAAAACTACTCATTTCAATATGAGTTTCGATGCTTTCATGGAATCGCAACATCCTTAAGTCACGACTCAATATGACGAATAGCCAGGAGTCTTGAATCAAACTCACCGTCCATAGGCTCCTCCTTAATTCGGATCTCTTTCGTGTCCTCGTCCTGACGATCGCCGCGCTCCTTCCTGTCCCTGCGATCGCGATCCCGGTCACGCTTGTCCCGCTTACGATCCCTGTCACGATCCCGATCGTTGCTCCTCGATCGTCGCCTCTTGCGATCTCTATCGCGATCGCGATCTCTATCGCGATCCCTTCTGTCGCGTGGCCGTTCGTCTCGCTGAATCTCCTCGATGTCAGGATCCGGCAGTCGGTCGCGACTTCGCCTGCGCTTGCGGTCGCGTGATCTGCTTCTGCTCCTTCGCTTGCGATCGCGCGATCTCCGGCGCTCTCTATCCAGGCGGTCGCGATCCCTAAGGCGATTAGATCAGGTATCGGTCTTCGTAATTGCCTTCACATTGTGTCACATTGATTCTACTCACAACGAGGACCTCCGTCTTACCTGTCTCTGTCGAGGCCACGTCCCGAAGTCTCCCTCTCGCGTTCCAAGCGGTACCGCTCTCGCTCCCTCTCGTTATCCTCTCGTCCCGAGTGCTTGATGTTGACATCGGGACCTCCTCTGCGAGTGCCGCCCAAGCCACCGCCGAGTCTTCGTGGTAGCCAGCCTTTTACCGTTCTCGCGCGCTCGACATCGACCAATACTCTGCGACCATCTATTTTCTTACCATCCGCATGCTTATAAGCAGCTAAAAGGTACCGAGTCAGGAATTACTGTTCGCCAGCGGTTCCAAGCGCCTAGATAATTTATGTGGCTACAGCGAGATTGTTTAGGTCCCGACGAAGGGGACGAATTCTGAGAACCTAACGCGAATCTTTTGAAACTGCGGGTCCTGAAGTCAAACGTCTTCGAGGTCGCGAATGGTCGGAGGATTCGAAAATCGAGCGTCAACGGATCCGGAAATCTTTGCAGACGAGCCCTCGAAAAGCAAGGATTTCAGGACCCACAACGACTCTTCCGATCTATTAATCCTCGAATACGCGAATTTTCGAAGCTATGCCTTCTACGACTCGCATATTCTCGAACAGGCAGTTTTCTAGGATCCTCGAATTCTATAATCCAATGGTTCTCGGACCTACGGAACCTTTAAAAAAAAAACAGACTAGAATCTACAGATCCTAGAATTCGCGGGCCATTCATGTGAATACTCTCAAATTCTCCACCACGAAGACCGTGGCTTCGAGAACCTGTGAATTTTGAAATTCGCGAACACTCGCGTTTTCGAAGATCCGTCGGTTCTAGAACCTAGAAAATTTTGGACACGTGTACGCTTCAATCCGCAGATCGAACACGCATGTCACTGAATCCAAAGGATCCTCGGTTCCGCAGATTCTTTGTCGGAGAAATTTCTACGATGTCTATTTCACTGGAGTGGTAGAATCGTGAGAAGAAGAAAAGGGGAAAAATCGATTGAATTTTGTCCGCAACTTTCCGAAAGCCGGAGAACTGCGAACAGCAGCCGTTCGAGAGAACGACGTGCTTTGGAATCAGACAAGATTTGCAAATCGCAAATCGGACAGCGCCAGTGGGCGCACTCTCGTTGCATACCCTGAGGAAGATGTTTGTTAATGTTGAGAAAGTGTCTACATCTCGACCGCCGATGCTGCTCTCGCAGCGGAATCGATCAGACCACCAATGATTGTTGCAGAGTCTTTGCGGATGATGCTGGAGTAGCAAGATAGTCGTAGGAATCGCTCCCGATCACGTGCACTTTTGCTTTGTCAGCATGTTTCATTTTACACGTAAAACACGAATAAAAAGAATGCAAGGAGCAGTATTATATCATTACGTAAATAATACAAATAAAACTACTTCAAACAGCTTCACGTAAGCATGATTCATGAAACATCTTGTTAAAAAAAAATAAAATAACAATTATTTACTGAGACTCAAAATTGACGTATAAAATTAAAAGTGAATATCTGAATATCTCAAGTTTTAAATAAAAATCATATAGATACTCTTTCTCTCTCTTTTTCTACAAGAATTCTACACACAAAAATAAGAGAATAGCCCTTTGCTTACAAATGGAATTTATTTAATAAATATTATCCCTCTGAAATGTTCGTAAATAATCGTCGTAACAATTCTGAAGTGCAAAAAGTCCAATATCCAATATCAAGTGGCATTTTACGACGTAAAATGAAGACACGTCACGTCAAGCTTATAGTTGCAACCGCACACGGCGACCAAACGGCTTCGAATCTTTTTCTCGGAGCAGCTTAAATCTACTTGCTGTTTAAGATCCAAAAAAGTATAGCAAATACAAAAAATACCTACCGCGGCTACTTACGTACGGAAGTTAACACAAAGCTTAGAGGTACGGTCTAATCGTGAAATGAACTTGTGTAAGAGACTCGCGAGGAGATTACTCATTGCGAAGATGCCCAGTCTTCATACGTTCGTTCGTTCGTTCGTTCGTTCGATCTCCGAAGAGGTTTACATTGCGTTTACCTGGTGCGCTTTCTTTTCGTTTTACTTACGACCAAACCGTTTGCGCATGTTCGTACATACTTATGGTACGTGTGTTACAATGATCTAATAGTAGATTACATTTATCGTAATGTTAAGGGCGAAGTGCCACGGAATACTCTACACGCTTCGCTAACTCTCGACTGCACGTCTCTCTGATTCTAAAGGAGAAGGGAAACTCGTCTGCCGGTTTCCGGCGCCGCAAATGTGCGATCGTAGGACTCGAGGGCTCTCGAGCAAAATCGGGACACGATCTGGAGGATCGCGGTCCTTGCATTCTAGATCTCCCGGGTATCATGGAACCTAAAGATTTTAGAATTCACAAGGACTCAGGATGCCCAACTAGATCCGTCGACCCGACAAATCGGAGAACTCAGAGATCTTACAATCCACAAGTGCAGCATGCGTGTTATTCCAATCACACAGGAAACGATACTGCGAAACGCGAGAAAACGACCGATCCCGAGTACTAAAAGCAATTAGTATTCTATATCGAAATTGATATGTTCAAGGACTTGTGTGCGCGGTTACTTTTTAATCGCTTCCTTGAGATGCAGGTGTTCACCAAACAGCTAATATCATCGCATACTTTGGGCACGCTTTGTACATCCGTCATCGTTCATGCAAATTTTGTGCTTAAATCTACTACGAACTATGTTCACTCACTCAAAACCAATCGAAAAAGTGTGTATATAAACAGGGTGGGTCATCTAACGTCAAATTCTAAGGTATCTCTGCTTTCTTTTATATCAGAGAAAAATGTAAAAGGAACAAGTTATGTAATTGGAAGAAATAAATATATTGTGACTGGTCGATCCTTCTTCAAACGCATAATTTACTCCTCTCGCATTCTCCTCTTTAATGTAACAAACAACAGAGATATTTTGGAAACTAACGTTAGATGACTCACTCTGCACATGTATTTAATCGTTGCCGCATATCGATTATGGCACGTCCTTCCAGCATTAATTCAGTTCCTACATTCCTCAACGAAACTTCCGTGCCCGTGACCAAAAAAAAGAAAAGAATTAACAGTCTCAAAATCACTACTGTAAGTAAAAAAAAAAAGAATCCACCTAACGATAAACGTGTTGAAATGAAACGCATGAGCTAACTGTACGTTTCGTGTAAATGTGCAAGATACATACCATAGGATGGAACCTCATCCCATTTTAGAGTATCAACTTCATAATATTAGGAGAATCAATGCCATTCCATGACACAGGTAGAAAGCAAATGCCTGTTCACATATAAGACATTTATCCTTCTACCTTCAAGCCACAAAATTACGGCGGCTGTTCTAGTTGCAAAATATTATCCTGCTGTTCAGTACGTCTGTACATGTGTGTATGCATGTAAAACGACAAATATGTATGCAAAATGCACTCTACACTTTCACTGTATTCACCTCCGAACGAGTATCTAATAAAGTGTGTATATGTGTCCCTGAACCTTCATCCTAGAAGCTCATCAATCAATTTCAATGTAGAATGCTAACTTTCACGCAATTCTCGGATCCGTAGATACTAACGCGGATCCTGACACCCGTAGATTTTACGGGCCATTCGATGCCGCCGATCCCATAGGATCCACGAATCCCCGAATTCACGGAGTTTTAACGGGACGTGTTCTAAGAGAGAAACTTGACTCGGACATGTATCGTCAAAACGGGTCGGAAGGCCCCGTAAAGAGCGTGGCGGGTGTCATCACGGTCGCCCGTTAGCCATTCGACCGAAACCGTGCGTGTCGCTCGATAAAATTCAGACACGATAAGTAGGGTAAGCAAGTAGACGCTAGCAAACGTTGTTGTATGTTGGATCTTACCACACATACAAACCTATCATATCAGGCAGGTTCAGGGATTTTGCATGGAATAGTGAACGGCACTAGTTGCCGGCAGCGGCCACCACGCTGTACCAAGAACAAGATAAAAACTGCATTAATCAAAGATAGCCAATAAACGTTCACGTCGTTTGTTTGTTCATACGTTCGTTCATTCGTTTCGCTTTTTACCGTATTTATGCATTTACAGAACGGTATTCCTGCATGGGTGTGCGTATGACGGGGACCCCCCCTAAACGTCTGGTTTAAGTACCGATAAAAACAGGTAGCCTAACTATAGCCCTGTCCCCACTAAATCTAGCTGAAAGTGACGCTAAATAAGGGTAAATTTCCAGACTATACGGGGCTCGTTGAATTTCGCGGCAAGGGTGCATTTCTTTTCTCTTTTTTTTTTTTACCTCTCCATGCTGTTGTTACTTACAGTGCATATCTCGTTCGTGCTCATATTCAATGAAAGCATATCCTCGAGGCTTGCCATTAACTGTATTATGTATTACTACAATCTGCAAAAGAGAAAGGTCAGAATATTCTCACTATATTATTATAATGAATAAATTATTATAATGAAGAGTCATATTTACCTTTTTCACAGGTCCATATACCTCAAATTCTCTCCTGAGTTTGGATTCTGAAGTGTCATAATTCTATAAAAAGAAATGTACGTCTTAATACATAATTATATATTTCCTAGATATATACAGAAGAATTTATATTATATTTAAATGAATGTTACTTATTTCAAATATTTCACAAACTTATATATCCACAAATCTATCATAAATTTATCATAAGCAAATTCATAATCATAATCAAAATCAAATTTATAATCATAATCAAATTTATTCAAAATATATTTTGCATCCTAGTAAGCTTAACATTTTAATCAAGAATATTAAATTATAACAAAAATTCAATTTGGTTATTACATAGAGTTGAACTAACATTTTCTTAAAAAAAAATCTTGTAATATTTTTGTAAAGAAAATCAACTCTCCTTTATATGCTTTATAAACTCTCTTTTATGAGCTTTTCTAAATTTCTGATAAATATACTTTGAGACTGCTATCAAAAGAATATTCTTTATGAAAGATAATCATTACTTAATAATCTGAAAGTAAACAGAAAATAAACTGAATAATTGCTTTTTTTAGCAATAGAATATTTTTTTGTGTACATATAATACTATACAGAGTGTGCCAGAACAATCTTTGAAGCTCTTGTGGAAACATAATATGGATTAAGGTAAACATAAAAACCCTATACCATCTTGCGATATTCGCAATGATTATCTGACACACGCTGTATAATACATTCACTACCAAGGCTCATTTAAGAAACTACTCCTACAGATCCTTTTTTTTCTTGTGACAGTACAAAACAGACTCAAAATTTTGTTTATGTAGGTACAGAATAAAATTTTTGACGTCATACATATATGACATATGAGAGATCATAAAGTATCACTTATGTATGATACTGGTAGTGAATGTGATAATATATCTTATGTGTATATGTATTATATATTCTTTGTGTATATATATATATATATATATATAAATATGAGTACTATTATACAACTTACAATACGAGCTACAAACAGAGTCTTGAAAGGATCTGCTGTTACATTTGAAATACCAGCTGGATCCCATACTGCAATTTCCTGCTCAAGTTTATAAGCAACTTGTTCAGCACGTTCTCTTCTCCTACGTTCAAGACGTTCTTCTCGAGTCTCTACGCGTACTGGTGGTGGTGTTTCTTTAGGATCCTACAAGGTTGTTTTGTTAAAAAATAGATAAACTTGTCTCCAATGATTGTCACTTGAAAGACTTGAAAATAAGTAAAACTGCATCATCTCCAGACTCGTTAAAATAGTGACTAACATTCAATATTTTCATATCCTATATATATCTCTGCATAACCCATAGTAGCAAGAAGCAAATATTACAATTGAAATGAACAAAACTGTTCCCCAAACAGTTCGCTCAATATGAAAAACACAAGTATGTGAGCCAGAGTATGTGAGCAAAAGTCAGGTTTCAAGAATTAAACATTTGCCTCACCTCAAAGTACTTAAGAAATGTCCCGACTCCTATGTAGCCGCCGACCTTCTTCTCGTGCGGGAGTTTGTTAGCCGGTGGTAAATACGGGATCGGGTCGCGCGGCGCGAATAACGCTAACAAATTCGGTGGGAGAAATTGAGTCATTTCTCCAGGAAATGATGAAAATCACCCCGGAGCGCGAATAAAACGCACTGTTCGCCGAAGGAATAAAACAAGCGGGATCAACGCAACATCACCCGTGTCAATAAGATGGCGGCTAAGCGTTAACTTCGTGCGTTCGGGAAGCTCACTATCAGCGCTATTCAGCGCTACCGTAGGTCTGTTCTTTTCCTCTGCACTGGAACTACACTGGGGATGCTTTCCAGCTACATCATACTGTGTTACACAAAAAGTTTGTTCTTTCGACCTGAACTGGCTGCACTAGTTCACGAAGTTTGCACTAATGCGTTCTTTCGATCAGAACAGTGCAAGAAAATGTGTTCTTTCGAACAGTGCAGGCTGAACTAGTGCAGCGAGTTCAATGAACTGACTGCCCTAGGTCTGGAGGTAGAGCAAGCAGTGCAGGGCAGCTAACCGAAAAAATTTAAATTTGTATCTATAACCTGTAAAATCGGTATACCTAGTTGACATTACGTAGAAGAAATAATCCGACGACGGAATCTATAAACAGTAAGTAAATACTTAAATATATAATAAATATATAATGTAGATAAATATATAATAAATATATAATGTAGAATGACATAAAAGAAGTATTTAGAATGTTATCCAAACAGCACAAAATATCCGAAAGACATCCTGGGAAGGCTCTTGGACGTTTTTTCGGAGGGATTTGTTGTATGGGTATCCAACACAAAACAGTTTTTAAAAGAAATAGGATTGTTCAACAAAACATGAAATGCTATAAGTGCGAAAACATGACCATAAATTGATCTATGTTATTTAATCCAACCATGTTGTCCGCCATCTTACACTGCTCTAACTTGCTCTTACCCGTTCTTTTCAGACCCATATATATCTTTGCACTGGTCTGCACTATCTTGAACTTTCTTCAACTAGTACAGTTCCAGTGCAGCCCTAGGTCAGGTCGAAAGAACAAACCTTGTGTTACACAAAATCAATTTATTAGCCACATATTATCTAAAATATCTTGTAAGATAATAGGCCTGTTCTTTATAGTTGCACTGCTGAACTGGTGCAATATATTAAAGTGAGACAAATATACGTTTTCTCACTCTAACTTATTGCACTAGTTCAGCAGTGCAGCTATAAAGAACAGGCCTAATATGCAACCAATAAACTGGTTTTGTGTAACACAGTGTACGTAGCTGGAAAGCACTCTGGGACTACACTACACTAGCACTGCACTGCACTACACTACACTCAACAGTGTAGGAGTCCTGACAAAGAGGAAAAGAACGTCACAGGACAGTGAATAACATAGCGCTTCACATAATTCGAAACTGGAAATTAATTGATTCTTCAGATGAAGAAGAGATGTTTGTAATGTTGCAACCACCCTTAAAAGCTACCCAGATAGGACAGAGAATTAAAAAAGAATTCAAAAAGAATTCTCTGGGCATCTTTAAAATTGTGCCATTTTTCTGTTACTCCATATCTAAAATAAATATGTAATCCATTTTATCTGAGTAACTACAATCATATCATAATTACTTTAATTATATTGAATTTTACCTTAACAGGAATTTTACCTTACAGGTATTTTGCTATTAAGTTATTAGGGCTATCGCACACAAATTAACATAACTGCATATGCATAGCATAAGATCGTATGGACCAATGAGTATCGAATATTAAGCATCGAACAGGAGCATGTTGGGGTATGCGACGCGAACAAACCTTATGTAACGGATACTATGGATGTTTCCGATAATATCTCTCCGAGTCATTTCCCTAGAGCAGAAATAAGTTACAGACATCACCATCTACTACTATTATGTGATTTATGACAACCCAAAGCTACCTAAAGGTGCTTTTACATGGGATCATCGAGCGTCGAGCATTAAAGCGGTAGCCAATCAACGTGCCACTTTCCGCAAGAACTACAAGTATACTTCTGGAACCTGATACGTTGATTAGCTAACGCTTTAACGCTCGACGCTGGGACGCTACCATGTATTGGCACCTTAATGCTGTCTCACGACTGCAAGCAGTGGATTAGGCAGAACAATAGTGACAAATACACGAGATAATAATTTTGTAAAATTGTACTATTGATTATAAAATCATCTGGTGTTATTTTCTAATAAAATTTTATTTATTCTTAATTAAAATTATATACCATTAAAATATATATTATATTGTTCAAATATTATCCTAAATAGCGTTTTTCATTGGCAGAACTGGTGCGCACTGAGTGCGCACTAAGGCTTGTTTACAATACATTTTCATATTTAAGATCGTATCTTAATATTAAAAATATTAAAAATATTTTAGGTAATAAAATGATTCGTACGGATGTTATATACATATTATATTACTGGTTAAAAATATTTGAGAATTTATTTAAGACAATCTTTCAATATAATAGCATATTGTGAACAAACCTTAGTGGGAGCGGTGCACTTGGATACGGTGCATTTGGACACAGCCAATCACAGCACCGTGTGATTAGAGACATTTGTAGGGTCCCTTGGAACAGCGACTTGTGATTGGACTGTGTCCAATTGCCCCGTGTCCAACTGATATACACCCAACCTTAGTGCGCACTCAGTGCACACCAATTCTGCCAATGAAAAACGCTATAAGTATAAAATCACACTGTACCTTTTAACCTATTTGCAAGTATTGTTTTTACATGACGGAAGCGTCCCGATTGACCACGGTACGATTGGACACAATCACCGATGAAAAGAATTATCTAGTGAATTACTAGGTCGAACCAATCATTACAATCTGTGTCCAATCGTATCGTGGTCAATCGGGTCCCACCCTTAAAATCTATTTTAATAATGTTAATATAGTAATGTATGTTAGTATGTTAGTAGTTTATTGTAATCAAAATATATAATGCAAGAACATTTATATAAACTTAAAATAATAAATTATTATAGTACAGCAAAATTTCAAATTCTTTTATTTGTCAATGAATATGCTACGACAATATTTTCAAAAAAATATGGGATCTTTATATGATGTTCCCGTGGAGGTTGGAAGTTATCCTCATCATTTTCATCAGATGGATGATCAAAAAATATTTCCCACATTTCTAGTACATCCATTTTTTATCTAAAAATGTTTAGTTGTAATGAATATTAAAGTATAATAGAAATAACTCAAATAATGTTAAAAAATAATAACATTAAGAAACGTTTGTAGAATTACATATAATTTAAAACAAACTGTGCAAACAAATCTATTTTGTTTTGTCATCAATATACCCTAATGATATAATTTATTGTGGACTTGCATCTGTAAGAGTCATATAAAAACAATACTTGCAAATAGGTTAAAACAGTGTGACTTTTTACTTTAGGATGATATTTGAAAAATAATATATATTTTAATGGTTATATAACTTTAATTAAGAATAAATAAAATTTTATTAGAAAACAACACCAGATGATTTTATAATCAATAATACAATTTTACAAAATTATTATCTCGTGTATTTGTCACGGTATTGTTCTGCCTAGCCCACTTGCAGTCATGAGACAGCATTAAGTAGCTTTGGGTTGTCATTAATCACATAATAGTAGTAGATGGTGATGTCTGTAACTTATTTCTGCTCTAGGGAAATGATTCGGAGGGGTATTATCGGAAACACCCAATAGTGAAACTAATGGCTTCTGCACATAGGACGCGATAATGCTTACTGCGCGGCGAAAGTTCACGCGACAACCAATTAATATACTGCTTTCCGTAATAACCTTCTAGCTCTTATGGAAAAACAACATATTGATTGGCTTTTGCCGCGCGGCAAGCATTACCGCGTCCTGTGTGCAGGAGCCATAACGCTTGCCGTGAGGAGGAAGTTGCCTAGAGAATAACGAGGTAGCCAATCAATGTACTGTTTTTCCATAAGAGCTAGAAAAGCTTTATTACGAAATATTGTATATTGTTTGGTTGTCGCACCAACTTCCGCCGCGCGGCAAGCGTTGCCGCGTTCTGTAAGTAAGAGCCATAAGGCTGAGTTCCCATTTAGCGCATCACGCATCGCGTTGTCCGAGTTAAGCCAATCCTAAGGCCAATAAATTGTTTCATTATATTCGACGTAAAGTTACTCTATAAAATGGGACGATTTGATTGGCTTAACTCGGACGACGCGACGCGTGACGCGCTAAGTGGAAACGCACCCATAATACTAGAAATGCTGTAGTATATAGGTGCGTTCCTTTATTTATTGCGAGTACTGACGCTATGACATCATGAAATACTGCTAGTAACGTTCCGTTTTAACTTCGAGCACTGTCGAGATGCTGCAAGGTGATAAATGGGAACGCATCACCTTACTACCACTGCTTTACCTCTCCAGCTGCAGTAGCCGCAGCAGGAAGTGACATCAAAATTCATGACGTCACAAACTCGTCGAAATGCTTTCGCACTATAACCTATTTAGGAACGCTGATAGTACTGACAGTACTTGCAGTAAATAATGGAACGCAGCCAATGGGTATTTACGACAATTAGAGTTAGAAGGTCCCATGGCATGTGTTTTCCGCGTACCGCGTAAACACGTAATCAATAAATTGTGACGTTTAGTATTTCTCTTGGAACTTCTAAAAGAATAGAAAGATGTGATTGGTTACGCGTTACGCGAAAATACGTGCCATGGGACTCCACCCTTATGGCTCCTGCACACAGGACGCGATAATGCTTGCCGCGCGGCGGAAGTTCGCACGACAGCCAATCAATATGCTGCCTTCCGTAATAACCTTCTAGCTCTTATGGAAAAACAACATATTGATTAGCTGTCGCGCGGATTTCCGCCGCGCGACAAGCATTACCGCGTCCTGTGTGCAGGAGCCATTAGAGTTAGTTCCACTAGGGTCGAAAATTATGATAGGCACGACCATCAAGTACTTTTGTAGTTTATGACAACTTCTTCTAATGCCCAATTTCTTTACCTCCGCTTAACTTTTTTGTTAAATTCAATACAATATGCATAAGTATATAAAGTAAGTACGGGACTATCCCAATTGCATACCGGTGCTTTGCCTTATCTAGTGAATTACTAATTCACTAGATAAAGCAGAGCACTAATTGGTGGTGTGCAATTGAGTTTATGGCCGGTATTCATAGGCCGGTATTCATAGTCCGATCTTATATTTCAGATAATCTTAAGTACTGTTTTAAGATGTTATGAACCAATCATAGAGCCGTATTCGCATCTTAAAACATTACTTAAGACGGTCTTGAAATAAGATTCGACTATGAATACCGGCCTATGTATATTTGGACCTCATCCATAGACTCGTATTTATACCCCTTGTCCACAACCTT